CCTCTCTGAGTGCCAATTTTCCCAACTGGAAAGTCTTCTGATACACTGCATCAAGTGCAACCCTAAGGCTCCAAGTTTAGGACCACCAAGATCCTGTGGTTGCCTACTCTGGCCACCAGATGGTAGACTCGGATAAACTTGAGGCTGGACTGACAGGATCGCTTGGGAAGATGGGCTTTCCTTTCAGAGAACATTGACTGGTGCATAATGCTTGCATTGCTTCCTGCAGTCATTTATTGAGCACCTGCTGCATGCCTAGTTACTTTTCTGTCCTGAAGGTGTACAGTACACTTTCCAAAACTGTGTTCCTGGCACTTCAGAAAAGTTCTGTCTTTTAAAAAAAAAACACAGCTTTACTGTGGAATAAATTACATACAATTAAAGTCACCCATTTTAAGTGTACACTTTGGTACATTTGGGTAAATGAACACAACGATACATCCACCCCCACATCAAGTTTTAGGCCACTTCTGTGGCTCTCAGCAACACTACATTGCTTTTTGGTGCTTTCGCTTGCCTTTTCTAGAATGTCATAAAGATGGAATGATCTTGTTGGCTTCTTTTAATTTGCAAATGTTTACAGATTCAACCAATAGTTCTTTCCTTTTATTGCTGAGTTGTCTTCTGTTGTGTTTTATCTTTCACCAATTGATGGACGTTTGAGAGATTTCAATTTGGGGGCTGGTCTGCTATGAATATTTTCAAGTAAATCTTCATGTGGAGATAGGTTTTCATTTCTCTTGGGTAGCTAAGAGTGGAATTTCTGGGTCATGGCAAGTGTCGCTATGGGTCGGAACCGACTCGACAGCACTTAACAACAACAACAATGGCAACTGTGTGTTTAACTTTTAAAGAAAATATCAAACTCTTTTCTAAATTGGTAATATCACTTTGTATTCTTATCATCTGTGTGTGAGGGTTCCAGTTACCCATATTGTACAATGACTAGGTATCAGATCTTCATTATCAGCATCAATAGCCCAAGGCTGATTCCTATGAGGTGGTGAGCAAAGCAGATCCTCTCCCCAATTACTTTATCAACTCTGGCATCATCCGTCCCTCCCATGACACTCTGAATTTCTTTGCTTGGTTCAAGAATTTGTTGCAATGGCCACACAGAGACCATACTTACAATTGTGGTGTTTATTAGGGAGGAGTGACAGGTACAGCTCAGGATTCAGTTCTTTGATCAGGACAGCTGCTTCTCTGGTCATGCTTACAGACAGGTCTCTGCCACCAAGTCCTGCTTGGGTCTGAGCCCTCACTTTTGTCTCCAGAAGGCAAGCTCTTCTCAGCTGTATAGGACTCCTCTCAGCCCCAACAGGACTGGCTCCTCCTGAACACTTAGGACAGGATTCCTCTCTCACCCCGACGTCATCAGCCCTGCCAGGGCAAAAGCTACAAAGCTCTTTGAGCTCTGCCGATAAGTGCCAAGAGGCATCCCACTCCACCAGCCTTTGACCCTGAGGTCCTCAGCTCTCTCACACTGTAGGCCAGCTCACCCATGGTAGCCGCCTCTCTCTGTGAGATGGGATGCCCACACCATGGTCTCATGCCAATCTCATGGTTCAGCGGTTGCCGTTTCTCTGCCACAATTGCTATCATTTTTGACCATCTCTGTTCTATGTTCTCTACTCCTGGCTCTTCTGTTTGGTGGTAGTGAGGTCCTCCAACTGCTCTGGAATTGGCTTTCATTTTAAGTTCAGCAGGATGGCAAAAATGACCAATCCCCTCATTAATGTTCAGTACACATTATATGTATGGCTTCACCCGTGTAGTGTTCCATGCACTTTATATCCACTCTAACATGCCGATTTCCCTACTAAACCTTTGGCTATCTTCTTCTACAGTATACCAAGGCAAGTCTTGGACTTCAGCCTGATACAATGTAGGCCACTGCATAATTCCTGCTTAAGAAACCAACCAAATAAGCTGTTAGATCCTTTTCTAACCTCTCAACATGAAACAGTGACACTAATCTGTGCTTAGTGGACCCATATCAATAAAGTCAGATCAAGCCACCTTTCTGTTTATGATACCATCACCCACACACTTAATGGCCACACATATTAATTACCCAGGTTCTGACTCAGATGGTCATATTAGAAAAATCAAGAACTTCTTTTGGAGTGTCATATACTTCCTCCTGGGTCACACTTTGTACTTCATCTTTGGGACTCACTGGGATTTAAGTCTAGTTATAGGTCTAGAAGCAAAAATGGGTACTTTAGCAGACACAGATGGAGTAATCTCTTCAGATGGGAGGGGTGATGCTGCTAAGTTGAAAAAAAAGTGAATTTTTGCCAACATCTCAATTCATTAGTCTGAAATTAAACAAGCATTCAATCAAGATTCAATGAAAATTATGGGTGATTGGTAAAGTAGAAGGTCAGAAAATTGAAAACAAAGGATTATTAATTAGAAAATATGGTTTTGGTGATAGAAATTATGAGATTGTATGATAGAATTTTATAAGGCCAATGATTTATGCATTGCAAATGCCTTTTACCAACAACAGAAACAATGACCATATACATGTACCTTGCCAAAGGGAATAAAAAAGAATCAAACCATCTCCATCTGTTGGAAGAGATGATGGAGAAGCTCACTATCATCAGTCAGAGCAAAGTCAGGGGCCAACTGCACAACAGTTGAAGGTCATCAATTACTATATGTAAGATCAAATTGAAACTGAGGAAAATTAAACAATTTCATGAGAGCCAAAGTGTGACCTTTGACCTT